CATCCAACATGGCTGCCACTTTTATTCCCTTAGGAATGATTACAAACCACCTATAGTGAACATCATGCAACACTGACAGGCACTTTTACTTCTTTACGTCATGGTAAATATAATCCAAGCTATAATGGTGCTGCTATTTGAAAAGTGGATAGCTAATTTTCAATTGTTTAATTACAAAAAAAAAAAAGCGAATGGAAATTAGTAACTCGGAACAAATTTGATTCAGGTGCTGGCGTATTGAAAAAAAAATCGAGCTACTAGTTTCTGCCTGCTTAATAAAGGGTGTCCGTTTTATACGAGGTCCGATTAATAGAGTTACCACTGTCTTCTTGTTTTTCGTCAACTCTTCAATCAGCAAATTGAGTCAAACGGTGGATTTCTATCGGGACACTTATTCGATTCAGGTTTTTAGWGCTTAGAAAGCAAAGTTTTGTTAGCATTACTATACAACATCGTCTTTGCCTCTTGCGCCCGCTTTTCTCAAAAACCACACGGAATATTAATGTACCGACGTAAGAGATGAAAGTATAGCGCTTGAACCCTATTTCCCTACATCATATCAGAGCAATTTTACCAATCAAACCTACATCTTATTTTAGATCCTTTCGAAATTATCTTGAATGTAAGGCTAACATGAAAATACACTTGAAAAGAAATCACACTTTTTCTCGATAGAAGTTGTGCCAATACTTTTGTATATTTCCGTTGGCGTCGAAGATCTTTCAGTCAAAGGGGTCTATGTATAAAAAGCATTTCAAGCAAAGGTTCTGTAAAACTCTTCGCTTTGTTTTACCTTTCTTTCGCGAGTCTTGTTGTGGAATAGGAGAGTCCATCTCGAGACTGCAGTCTTTACGTGGTGCCATTGAGGAGTGAAATGCTATCTAATAATGTAATGCATGGAATAACTCTCTTATTATAATGATTGAAAGCTTAATTAAAGCCAATTATGATTGGTAAAGTACTTGAGGTGTGGCTCCCATCAAAGCATTTCTTTGTTTCTCCGATGCCAGTTAAATTGTTTGCTTTTCTGTGTTTTTTTGTTGTTGTTTTTTTGTTGTTTTTTGTTTTTGTTTGTTTTGTTTTTTTGTTGTTTTTTTTTT